CAAGGAGCGCTGAAGTGCAGCAGTGTTCCAGCTTCACCTCCTCCTCAGCTATGCTCCTGGCATACTCTTGCTGCTGGACAAAATATCGTAGAGCTTTATGCCACTGGTGGAGCTCTCAGCTGCTCTGCATCGGGCACTGACTATGGAAGGCTGTGGGGCATTGGAAGGAGCAGTGGGGTGTGTGTCAAGAGGTTGGTGGTGTTTTGGCAGCTGATGGGTCAGGATCAAATGTGAGGTAGGGTAAGAACTAGAGGATTTGGCAGGTGCGAGAAAGTTTGGATGCATCTGCTCATTGAAGTTTTTGGGAGAGGCAGCAAGAACTGTGGGAAAATTTCACTGTGAGGATGGGGTTGGGGAACTTCAATGTACGGGAAGGGAGGTAAGTTCAGGCGCTTTGCAGAGACAGTTACAAAACAGAATCCTACAGCTGACCCCAACAATCCTGATCAGCTACAAGAGACATAAATCAGCCACACGCAAAGAATTAACTGAGCCGCCTTAGCAAGTAGACAAAGACTTGGCTGTTTTCCCTCCTCCTTCTCCCTTCCAAACTGAAAATGCTGCAGAGGGTGAAGAAACATTTACTATTTGAACAGGCTATTGGAGATCACCCATTACAAAAGACTGTAAAACTCACCTGGCCAGAGATTCCTGAGAGAGAGAGAGCGGGAGCAGGCAGCATGAAATAACATGGACAGTCACACATGTGATGCACTCTCACCATGTACAGCAAAATCTATGTCTGAGAAGGGAATTTTGATGCTAATTCTTTTTTTTCTATGGGATTTCCCCAGTGAGGTGTTGCAAAAATCAGGACAGACTTGTTCCCTCTAAGAGCAGTGCTCAGTTACACATTTAAAACATTTAAAATATTTTTTCCATAAAGTCTCAGATATTGCCCCTGCCAGAGCCATGATATGGATCTGACATGGAAAACCTCTCTTATATAACATTTCATATGCAAGTGGACTTAGGTGGGGAAGTATTTACATACTAATATTCAGAGGCACCAACTTTGTGATTTCCGAGGGGGTGCTTGATCCCTGCTCTGCCCCAGGCCCCGCCCCCATCCCTTGCACCAAACCCCCACTCCACCCCTGCTCCTTCCCAGCCCCTTCTGCCCCACCCTCTGAGCATGCCCCACCCCTGCTCCTCCCTTCCCTCCCCCCTGAGCACCTCCTGCATGTCACCGAACAGCTGATCACTGGTTGGTGGGCAGCGCTGGGGAAGAGCTGTTTGAAGGGCTCTGTCAGCAGGCGGGAGGCACTTGGGGGGAGGTGGAGGAGCTGATTGGCAGTGAAGCTGAGCACCCAATTTTTACCCCCAACATAATGTGGAAAGCAGCCTGTGTTTCTGCCAACTCTGTATCCAGTTACCATCATTATTTCATTAGGATTTAAATTTAAATCTGAGGTGACCTGAATCAAAGTAAATACTTGTGTGCACCACTCTCTCCAATACAACTTTTCTATTAGAGTGTAGATTGAGAGGGGATTAGTTACTGCTCTGAATATGCAGTATCGAAGGGAGTGTTGTGACAATGGAATGCTTACTGGATTTATGGCCTACAGACTATTATCCCTGAATGTCGAGCAAAGACTAACTATTCACTTAAATTAAGTTATGCTAAGGAAAACCCGGTGCATGCTGGGAACTTTGCTATGAGAACTTTGTATAGATGTTCTGAGATTGTGTTCAAGGCACTTTGTTTATGAATTAATATTGTTTGGATTAAAAAGACTATTAAACTCTGGTAAGGATTGCTCTGGACAGATTGGGTACTTTTCCGGGGACAGAAATGCAGGAAGGAGACTTCATTTTCTCTATTTGTTTTGTCTCTTCCCATTTCTTGGCTTCTCTTTGTTTTTTGCTCCAGTTAAGGGAGTGCAATGCCTACAGTGCCTGGCATTTCTTAGGCTTAAACACCATAGCGTAAATAATCCTGGATTTGAATTTTGTTTACACAGCTGATGCTGCCTCATGTGGATGCAACTACCAGAAGGGAGGACGAAACTTATTCCAGGAACTGACTTCTCACCTGTGATATAGCCTTCCAACCTGACTGACGTACTAGTCATAGACTCCGACTCCGTGGGTGCTCCAGGGCTGCTTGGGCGGGCACTCACTCACTGCCCTGCTGGGTGCTCGCCACACCTCTCCGCCAGCCCTCCTTCTGCCGCTCACCACACCTCTCCGCCAACTACCCTGCTGGCCTCTCACCAAAATGTCTTCAGGGCCCACCATTTAACACAGCTCTCAGTGATTTCAGCTCTTAGTGATGTCAGCTGTTAGTGGGGAGCCTCACTGCTGGGGCACACTGGGCAGTCTCTTGCTTCGGAGACACTATCCCAAAGCAGGTCATACTTAGACCCAGTGGTGAGCTGGAACCGGTTGTTAAATTTTGAAGCAGTTTTAGAACCGGTTGTTAACCCGCTTCCCTGCAGGGGGCGCTGAGGCTTTGATGGGCTCCGGCCGGGAAGTGATGTAATTCCTCCTCCGGCCACCGGGGGCGCTGCGCTGCAGGAGCCATGTGGGCTGCTGCCTGGCCCTGGGCACGAGCCCTGTTGCTGCTGCTGCTGCTGCTCCCCTGGCCCTGGGGCTCCCGCTGCTGCCTGGTGGGTCCCCGGCTGCTCTGCTGGGCCTGGGCTGCGTCCTGCTGCTCGGGCTGCTCCGAGCCGCTCTCCCCGTGAACACCCACCACCCTGCCGCAGCCAGCCCCGCACCCCCTGCCTGCAGCCAGCCCCTGCCTTCAGCCCCCCCTCACCCCCTGCCCACAGCCAGCCCCTGTCTCCAGCCACCCCCTGCCCTGCCTCCAGCCCCTGCTGCACCCCCGCAGCCCCTACCCGCAGCCAGCCCGTCTCCACCCACCCCCGCGCCCCCTGCCTGCAGCCAGCCCCTGCCGCACCCCCGGCACGCACCAGCCCCTGCCACACACACCCCATGCCCTGCCTGCAACCAGCCCCTGTCTCCAGCCACCCCCACACCCCTCCGCCCGCAGCCAGCCACCCCCGCACCCCTCCACCCGTAGCCAGCCCCTCTCTCCAGCCACCCCCGCACCGCAGACAGCCCCTGCCCGCACCAGCCCCTGCCTCCAGCCCCCCCCCGCGCCCCGTGCCCGCAGCTGGCCCCCGCCTCCAGCCCCGTGCCCGCAGCCGGCCCCCATCTCCAGCCACCCCCTGCCCTGCCTCCAGCCACCCCTGCACTCCCTGCCCACAGCCAGACCCTGCTGCTCCCCCTGCCCTGCCCGCACCAGCCCATCTCCAGCCACCCCCGCACCCCCTGCCCGCAGCCAGCCGGTCTCCAGCCAGCCCTTGCCACACCCCCTGCCCGCAGCCAGCCCCCCCCGCGCCCCCTGCCCTGCCCACAGCCATCCCCCCCGCTCCCCCTGCCCGCAGCCAGCCCCTGCCTCCAGCCCCCCCACGCCCCCTACCCGCAGCCAGCCCCCGTCTCTAGCCACCCCTGCCGCACCCCCTGCCCTGCCTCCAGCCACCCCTGCACCCCCTGCCTGCAGCCAGCCCCTTTCACACCCCCTGCCCTGCCCGCAGCCAGTCCCTGCCTCCAGCCCCCCCCGGCGCCCCCTGCCCACAGCCAGGCCCTGTCTCCCACCACCCCCGCACCCGCTGCCTACAGCCAGCCCGTACAGCACCCCCTGCCCTGCCCGCAGCCAGCCCTGCTCCCCCTTGCCTCCAGCCAACCCCGCATCCTCCTGTCTCCAGCCAGCTCCGCATCCCCTGCCCTACCCGCAGCCAGCCCCGCACCCCCTTTCCTCCAGCTAGCCCTGCCCCATGCCCGTCTGCAGCTGGCCCCACGTCCACTGGTGCCCTGCAGTTCCCAGGGCAATAACCCTGCACACCTGCTTCAATGAGGGGGTCAGCGAGCAGCTGGGACCCACACATGTGCACACCCTAGGGTGACCAGACAGCAAGGGTGAAAAATCAGGACGGGGGTGGGGGGTAATAGGAGCCTATATAAGAAAAAGACCCCAAAATTGGGACTGTCCCTATAAAATCGGGACATCTGGTCACCCTAGCACACCCCCAGGGAGTGGCGGGGACCCACACTTGTGAAACGGAGCTCATTTCTAGATCAGGCCCATCTTTTTAAAAAAGAACTTTAGGCAGGGTTAACATACATCTGTATTTTCCTGGACAGGTCAGGCTTTTTGGTTCTTAAATTGCTGTCCGGGAAAATACGGACATATAGTAACCCTGTTGGTACAAAAAATACATACTGGGGCACATCCCTTAAATCAGAACTTTTTATAGGGAACCGGTTAAGATTTTGGCAGCTCATCACTGCTTAGACCTAAGTGTCAGCGATTTCAACTCTGCAGCATGTAACAAGACTTGCAACTGAGTCTAAATTAGCTCTGTTATTACACAGTGGAGAGAGAGAGAGAGAAAGGGTCAAACGGTGTTTGGGACCCTTAGGCAGGGCCCACACCACCAGGTACAAGAACCCGTCCCCACCCTTTCTCCACTCACTGGGCTTTGGAACCCATGTCACCTGCCTAGTGAGTGCCATTTAGTTGAGGGTGAGTCCCTCAATCGGGAAACGTCAAGTACAGTTATGTTGTCCTTGATTCCCTTTATTACTCCTGCCCCCAAACCAAGGAGACTGGGGATCCCACACCAGCCAAAAGTGACCGTTTAGGCAAGCAATCCCATCATGCTGAGCACCTAGGCAGGGTGGGTGTGCCCATGTAAACGAGATCAGCTAATGAAGTCCTCTTCCACAGCTTGTCACTAGACATCAGGGAAGAGCTCATTCAGTCTCTGCTTACACCATCATCAAGAAGGGGGGTAAGGAAAGGAAAAGCTGGTTTTGCAACTTGATCGCATCCCTGACCCCTTAGCGAATAGCCATTGAGGAACTTAAGCTCCTGGAGGGTATCTAATTCTTTTTGGAACCCAATTATACTTTTGGTGTTCCCAGCATCCCCTCTGGCAATGAGTTCCACAGGCTGTCAGGGGATAAAAAACACTTCTGCAAATTGTTCATCGGTATCCATAAGAAGGTATATACTTTATTTTTTTTTAATGTACACACTACTGAGTTTTGGATTTTGAAATACAAAAAAAGACAACAAAACTTTTAAGTAGCTTGAACATATTTCTGTGCAGTCAGGTTTTTACTCCAGTGGTAGCAACTAAGTATTAAGTACAAAAAAAGCAGATCTATGGATATAAATGATCATACAGAAATTGCCATGTGGCTCCTAACATAAAAAATAAGAAGCAAAGAAAAATAGTTCACGTCTTTTCCCATAATTGTGATTATGGAACATGTCCTAAAACTGGTCTGGCGTTACAGCCCAGAGCAGGGAGTCAGGTCACCTGGATTCTATTCCTAGCTCTGCAACTGACTCACTGTGACCAAGCACATAATGTTGCTTCTCTGTGCCGCATATTGCAAACCAGTAACCTAGGAAAACTAGGTTTCAGAGTAGCAGCCGTGTTATTCTGTATTCGCAAAAAGAAAAGGAGTACTAGTGGCACCTTAGAGACTAACCAATTTATGTGAGCGTAAGCTTTCGTGAGCTACAGCTCACTGCATCCGATGAAGTGAGCTGTAGCTCACAAAAGCTTATGCTCAAATAAATTGGTTAGTCTCTAAGGTGCCACTAGTACTCCCTTTCTTCCTAGGAATACTACTGGCTACCCACTTTTGCAAACTCCTTCGAAATCTTCCAAAAAAGGCTCTATAAAAGTATATCATTGCTTGATTTCCTCTCTTCACCCAGGATATTTTTCAGGATTTATCTCTTGAGACTGCTGCAGTTTTTATGAAGAGCTGCAGCCTTCACAAATATTGCTATATACTACGCAATGCGAAAGGATTCCAAACCTTTTATAGCAATATGTTCATGACCACTCATACCTCAGCATGAAGTGGGTTTTAAAAGCTTCTGACATTCCACAATACTTTGCAATTTGCAGGCATAGTATACAGGTCACTTGTAATATTTCGTAACAATTAGATTCTCTAAAATAAGCAATATTCACTGCCTTCTCTTCTGTAACTTCAATCCTTTCTCTTACATTTCCTCCCCAACCACGATCTGTTAGCATCTGTGCTATCCTCAGTGGTATGAAAAGTCCTCAGGTAAGGGACCTTATCTTCCTATAAGTCCACAAAGCACCAGTAACACCTACAACACTATATAAATAATGATACTCATAATACTTTTTTCCACTTTTAAGAATAAATAACCTAGAAGGCATTCTAAATAAAGCAAATGAAAGGAAAAAATAACACACTGAGGGCAGGATTTTCAGAAGAGCTCAGTGATGGCTTAAATCTGCTCCCACTCAATGGTAAAACTGCCATTGATGTCAATGGGACCAGAACGATGGCAGTGCTGAGTGCTTTAGAACATCTCACCCTAAAACTTGAAAGGATAAATAGGTGAAGAAGCTGAAATTGGTTAGTTCAAAAGATTTCTGCAGATATTTGAGTAGGGAAAAGCAAACCTGGGAAATAATGAAAGAGATTGAAATGGCTCAAAGATTTCTTGGTGATGAATACATCAGAACATTGTAGCATTAAAAAAAAAATCCTCTACCCAGATGACTGTCAAGAAATCACACGCACCTCATTAACTCCTGACTATCTTCACTGACTCTTGTGCTGCAGTAAGAGAAATAAGTACCAGAAATATTGTTCAGGGAGGAAAGACAGTATAGTCTAAATTAAAAATATTTACCTGGAACATATGCTATGGGGAGCCATGTGTATATAAAATGGGAGTTTGGAATGGTTTGTTAAATCCTATCACTCTGAGAGCCTCACATTCCTCATGCAGCGTTCACTGGTCAATAGCAGTGGATGCTTCAAAACCAGGAGTGCTTAGAATCCGCACTGCACTGAGGTCAGAACTGAGTTAGCTGTAGTAGAAGCCCTGTGGTAGAACATGGCTGTTGCTAGAAGTTTCTTTAAGCAGTGTGGAATAGACACTTTTTCTGACAACCATTCGAGGAAACCCCCCAAGTGTAGATTTATATTTTTCTCCCAGGTGGTGTTTGAGCCTATCTACATGACAAATACAAATGAGTTGTGGGATTAGACTACAATATAGGTATAAACATAGCGTAGATTGAGCCTAAGGCACAGTTTAATAAAATCTCTTAGACCAAAAATCTCTGCCCACAATTGTCTGGAAAACTGGGCTCAAATCTTGCTAGTAACAGGTTTGTTTATACATCATTGTAGCTGGTATGGTATAATCACAGACGGCCCAGAGTCTAGCCTGGCATAAGCTAAATTTGTGAAGTGAACCTTGTTAACAGAACATGTCAAATGCTTTGGAACCATTAGAGTCCCATCTTTACTGTAACTCCATGCTAGATGTCCGAGTTACAACACAGTAGTCCTCATACTTAAAATATGTTTCTGGAAGGAGCATTATTTCTACTGTGCCCCCAGTCCGTGCTGCTGTCTCACTAGCGTCCAAGGCTCTGGCACAGTTAAGGTACACAGTTGAAACAAGGTTCAATCCCTGCAAGACTAAACTCTTTACAAAAACTGGTTAGAGAACCGTGTGATGTAATGGAGTCCCCAAACATGGTGGGAGTAGCGATGTAAACAGGACCAAAGAGACATTGTTCAAGCCTATAACATATATAGACATGAGTAAGCTGGGTGGAGCACCACTGGAGGATGTCACTTGGGAAATAAACTATTTCAGGTCATTATTTCACTGTTTTCACTTAAAAGGACAATGATATAGTGTCTCTCCAGACCCCATTGTTTTGTTGCTCTTTTATTGAAGGAACCAGTCCATGAGCATTTCCTGAGAAGGAGCACTTCAAAAGCTTGAAAATACAATATTCTGTGTATTTTCAGAAGCCTCTATTTTATTCTGGATTGCTGTCAGAAAAAAGTCCAAAGAAAGAAGAGTCAGTTACTGTGGTGGTCTAAAAGCATACTGCGTGAGATTCTACTCAGCAATCTGCTGAATACTTGTTTAAATGAATATCCAATTCAGCTATGAGGCACACTCAGTTTTATATGTTAAGTATGATGGTTAAAAATGGAAAACATGATCTTGAGAGGCCCAAAATTCTGTGTCATATGAAAGCGCCATGGTTTCAAAAATGCTCTGTTTTTGAGACTACACATATGTATCCTGTTCACCACATACAGGATACACACTATATAGAAAAAACAGCCTAGTAGGAGAAAGCCATAACCAACCGTATGCCTGAAATTACTCAAGGACCCCCAAAAGTGCAGCACCCTAGTTTAGCACCCAACCCCATCATTGTAACCACCTCATCACATAGACAGCTTGTTTTTCTCATTGTGTGCCTTCCTTTTTGAAAACCAAGCTGTACCAGCTTGTAGTTCTTGAAAACGAGCTTAGAAAACTGGCGTCATCTCTTTTTTAAATTATAAATTGCATATAATAATCAAAATAGAGAAGTGCTGAGAAAATGAACCAAATCATTAAAAAGAATTGGTTTATTAGGCTTCCTATCAGCCAGATCCTCCATGGCATGAATGGAGTCCTAGTGCAATGCATTCTTGGGTGACAGAGAGCAGCTGGAGCTTACTAATGCGACTTTTGGAGGTTCAGGACTTTTGTTTGTGCCCAGAAATAACTGGATGGAGTCAACATTTTGCTACTGGAAACCTAAATGAGGCCATATTAAAGTATTAAATATGAGCATTACTTCTGCATAAAATACCAGACAATTTTAGCAGCTGGCCCTTACATCTAGGTTGATAATTATGTGGACTTGGTTGATGGTGTACAATGTATTATCTGAGTAGCATGACATTTTGGGCTGTTCTCCACTTTACTAGGTGGTGTTGTAATAATGTGTTTTCAATGTCCAAAATATTGTGCAAAGGAGTTCACTGAATGAATCAGGTCAAAGGAGCATGTGCACTAGGAGGAAGACCTTTCTTTCAGGCACATATTTGGAAAATAAACAGCAAAAACGAGAAAAGAAATATTCAAAAGTAACCTGTTAAATATGTACTGTGTGAAAGTTTGCCTTACTGTAGCAGTGATTCATTCAATGGGCACTCAAAGAAAGTCAAAAGAACTGCTCAATTTTGATTTTTAACATGCTACAGCACCCAACTGTCCCTACAGAGGGTGGCTGGAGCATGGGAACAGCATACCACAACCCCCAAATAAAGAATGGTTAGTTTTCACTGGCAGTACCACCTGCTGACTGTAAAGCAACACCAGACCCTCAATATTGCACTGTAAGAAAAACCCTCCAGAATAATGACAATAACCCACTCCACTGGGAAACAAGGTTAGAGGTTGATATTTTTCAAAAAACTGACAAGACAGACATTCCTTCTTTCTCCTTAGACAGCTGATTTTAAAAAGAAACAAAGCTTGTTGACATTTGGGATTTATGGTCAAGATACTGAACAAAATAGACCAAAACACTGTAAAACTGGTAACAAGCGCCTTTGACTGATGAAAGTACCTATGACTATTGGACATACTATGTTTTAAGTTTTTCAGAGCTGATTGGCCTCAGAGGAAACAAATTCTGTATTAAAAAACTCTTGCTTGTTATTCTTCAACAGTCCCCTCATTTGAAATTTGGCTCTTCCCCAGCAGTGCCCATAGCAACACTTGCTGATAACTCAGAAATGTGCAGCTAATTTGTGTGTGGTTTCAGCTCCTGAATGCCAGCAGCTGAACTGTACTTTTCAAGAGCAACAGGCTTTATCAAGCAGTGTAATCCTGTTTATGTTAATTTTTTAGATGGCCACTGATGAAGGAAATACTTTTGTTAGCAGCTCAAATAAAGAATACAAAATCCTGGAGTGGAAAATTTCACCTTTCTGTTCACACCATATTATCGATAAAACAAACATTCTGAAATGCAAGCAATAGTAAGCATGGCAAAAGATTTCTCTGCACTAAACCAAGAATAAATTAGTTTGTAACAAACTTTTTTTGTGTGTGTCATAAAAATGGGCAGAAAGAAGTGTAGATTTTCTCTCTTTGGTCTCTCTTGATATCTCTCCAGAGACACATAACAGGCATATTTCAAATTCACTCGTCTCCTATTGCAGGAAATAGTGAAGTAGCAGTTTGTATTTTCAGAATTCTGGAAAAGAAGAAAAGTATTGCAGAAATAATTTTCATTGGGTGAAGAAACAGGAATAAAGAAACAAAAGCTAAGGTATGACAAGAGGCTCTGTAATGTTTCAATAGTAGAAGTTTTTGCCCTGAGCATAATTAGATCAAACATTTAACTATACCATGTGCTACAAATAACATATTTCCAGTTAATACAAACCCTTTCTGTATATCCAATGGAAGGAAAACACAAAACATACACACGCTAGCACTATTATGGGCTTCTGAAGAGTTGACATTTTGCAATAGAGAGTTCCATTGACTTAAAACTTGGTGCATAGAATTTAGGAAAGTTTTTGTTTAAGTGATAAAAAAAAAAACCCCAACAAGATGCATTTTCAACAAGAACTGATCAAGAAACTAAAACAATATAAACATTAATCACCTTTCCAGGAGGAAAACACAAATGATTCACTGGTAGTGAAGGCTAATTAAGAATAATCTCAACCCATTTATATGGAGAGAAAGTTGTCAGCAGACAGATCTGGGGGAAATACTGCATAGAAAAATACAATCCCAACCCCACTATCTAACAACAATTAAGAAAGCAAACAGAAATCTGGAGTGTATCAACAGCAGAATAAAGCACAACTCACAGGAGATAATTATGGCAATGTAACAAAGGCGCTGGCAGGATCACAAGTGAAGTATTGTGTTATAATTTTTGATGAGGTAGTGTCTACCACCCCCAATTTGTAACTGGATCCCATTGTGATAGGTACTGTATATGGGGATAAAGACGAAGGGTTTTTGTTAAATCTAACAGGTTGAAGGGGTGTGCACTGCTGTTGACTTGCTTTGTGTCACCTGTTTCTCTATTTAAATATATGTGAGCCCATGGTGAAAGGATAGGTAGGCTTTTTAGAAATTCAAATAAATATATTTGTGGAGTCATATTACAGGGATTCTAGTGAAGAATTAGGGAAGATTCAGAAGGGGCATAATCAAGAGTCACCGTGGTTATCATTATGTGGAAAGGTTATTAAAATGGGCTTAGAGGATGAAGCTCTGGCCCATTGAAGTCAATGGTAGGTCTGCCATGCAGTGGGGCTACGATTTCTTCCAGAGTCATTAAAAATCTGAATAGGACATGACTGAACTTCTGAGGAGTGAAATTTCTAGAGGGTAACAAATACAAAAGAAGGGAACTGGGAATGGAAGTGAGACAATGTGTTGGGAAATTTTGCTACACAGGCTGTAATTAATGCATACAATGCACTAACAAAGGCAGCAGACGACTCTACAATGTATTCTCAAGGAGTTATGTAGGCAATTAAAAGACACAAACATGACAAGTACATGCAGAAGCTGGAAAGGGAGAAAGACCATAATAGACTAAGTACAGTTTAGTTAGTCTCTCTCTCTCTCTCTCTCTCTCTCTCTCACACATATCCTGCTTTAACAATCTTTCTTCCTCACATGTTCTTGTCCCTAATTCTCCATCTCTCCCCAAGGTAGCAATATAAGAAGAGTGTACAATCAACAAAGGTTAGCAGTACAGTAATATTTGGATGTAAAATCAAGGGACAATTCTAAAAATGTGGATTTGTATACATGGAGATTTTAGATTCTTCTGTTTTCTTAAGGGGGCTTAAAGTATAGGAAAACGCTCTGTCCCCACCCATATACAAAGGCCCATCGTGGGCAAAGGTAAACTGGATAAGTTCCCTCAAGATCCAGGCCTGGTCTACACTGCGGGTGTGGGGGTGGTTGGGCGGGGATCGATCTAAGTTACGCAACTTCAGCTACGTGAATAACATAGCTGAAGTCAACATACTTAGATCTACTTACCATGGTGTCTTCACTGCGGTAAGTAGACGGCTGACACTCTTCTGTCGACTCGGGCTGCGCCTCTTGCCCTGGTGGAGTACTGGAGTCGACAGGAGAGCACTCGGTGGTCGATTTATCACGTCTAGACTAGACGCGATAAATCGACCCCCACTGGATCGAACGCTGCCCGTCGATCCAGCGGGTAATGTAGACAAGCTGCCAGACACATTGTGTATGTATGATGTTGCTAGGTAGTGACATGATGTACTTGCCTCTTCTCTCCCTGTGGCAAAAAGATAGTTTTTTACAGACCTCCAAACTCCTGCTGCCTAAAATGCAGGATAGGTATAGACTGGAAGGGGAATAAAGGTAAAGTTGGAAAGAAAGGGGAGGGGGAAGAATGACAAAAGGAGAAAAAAGATTTCAAGAACCTCTTTTCCAGGTGACTATGTCTGAATGAATACAGGCTAAAACTCCTCTCAAACGGTTTTATATTCTCTGTCATCAGGCAGTTGTAGTCTCCTGTTTTGTGCTTCCTTCTGGGTTTGATGCACCTCATAATGCCTTGCATAAGATGACCTAGGTTAACAGCTCTTTAGAAAAGCTGCAGGAGTGTCACAGTATCAGTTCTTTATGCTGCAAATCATCCTGCTTCACCTCAGGCCTGGAAGGAAGGGTAAAATGCAAGAACATGACTGACAGCTGGGGCTTTGCCTGTCACAAGAACTCAAGGACAATGAAAGAATGGAAGTCTGGTAACTGGTAAGAGGAGGGTAGATACAGGAGACACCTACATTATCTAGGTTCAGAAGCTGGACCAAAAGACAAAGTGAAAAGGGCTTCTTGCCACCCATAGCATGGGATCCCTCTAGCCTTCTCTTTCCCAGGATGGGTCTGGTTCTCAGATCCTTCCAGATCCAGAGCACAAATAACTCAACAGCTTGCTCTTCTTCTAGTTCCTCCAGCTGGCACAATTGCCTTTATCTAGCCCAATGCCTTTGGCTGGTCTCCCTAGGAATCTCTGTAGTGACGGTAGACACCCGTTGCAGAATTTCTGCTTAGGGAGAGAGTGTCAGCTTCATTAAGCAGTGGATGTTGGGTGGGGCAATGATGAGTGATGAAGAATTATATGGTAGTGGGGAATTAGCTGACTCCCTTGAATGCTTGTTGCCAGATTTTTAAAGGCTTGGGTGTTTTTTAATGGTTCATGGTACTTTTTGCAAAGAAAGTGTGAAGTTGTCCTTTGAGCACTGGCTGCATTTGAATGAAAAGTATTTTCAACCTTGACTTTTTTTCAATTAATTTTTTGGTTAGCATATACTCTAAAAATTCATACAAACCCCAAGCTACACTACAGTACACACCATGACTTGTACTATTCTGCAGAATCTTGTGAGAACTATCACCAGCTTTATTAACAGTATTGACAAGTCAGGCAGACTGATGGGAGTCCAAAGCTTAGCTCAGTATTAGCAAGGCATACCAGAGAATTGTTCTAGTAGCACAAACTTTGCCTGTTTGAATATCCTTATAAAGCCTCATGAGGTTAAGCAATGTGCAGAATGGGATACAGAATGCACATTAGCACAACTGTTCTCAGCTAGGCATGTGTGTTTATAATGAAACAGCTGTAGTTCTTGGACTAATCTCTGAATACTTTACAATTGCCACATCTTAGCTGGCAAAATACAATATTCCTGTAATTTACATTATACACTATGACCACAACAAAAGAGTTTCAATCAAGCAGACAGAAAATTACTGTAGCTGTCATCATATGAACACACCCACGCATACCTCCGTGCAGTCCATCTGCCCTTGGGGCAGGCTGCTTCAGTGCCGAGACCTTTCTCATGGGTGAAAAATGAACTCAGAGAATGATTCTTGACTAGGCTAATATAAGTCAGTTTACGATAGCGCATATAATTTGTGGTGGGAAAAAAATGAGAAATCAAAATTGGGGGAAGGTTTTTGGTTTTTTTAATTCTGCCATTTCTCTTATTTCCCTGTCTTTAGCTCTACTACTTTTTTTTCCAGGTCCCTAGAAAGCCTAATGAACTTCTTATTCAGACCTCAGCATTTTGGGAGTGAAGGGAAGATGCACAAAAACCACATAGGATCTGACCCCAGGGGTGCTGAATGCTCATTACTGTCATTGGAGTTAACGGGCCCTGCATATCCACAGCACTTCGGAAAATCAGAACACTTATTAGGTGCCTAACTGTAGGTACCTACGTTGGAAAAGCTAGGCCCATATTTTTCAACATATTATCGTCAAAATGTCTTCAGAACTCAAACTCACAGGGTTCTCTCCTCATGTGGTTGATATTATCAGCACATCCCCAATAGATTCATAGCCTTACTGTTATAGGCTGGGATGCACATAACTCTCAAGAACCTGATTAGAGTTTAATTTACTGGCATTTCCTCTTCAACCCCAAAAGATACCCAAGCTGATTAAAAAAACCAAGTTCAACATTTTCACTTTGTATATTACTCCGAAGCAAAGTCCCTTATAGTGGGAGGAGAGTTTCTTATTTGTTTTCCAACTATTGTTCTTGAAGATGTATTTAGCAAAAAGGAAAACTCTTTCTTGCCCTTTGGGTATGATGGCCTTTAACAAGACTAAAAGTAGCAAACATAGTGGTTGAACCACTTCACTGAAGAAAGCACACGTGTCTGTGTATAGGTCTTACCTTAGGATTCTGCTGTCATTTTAGATTGTTCAAAGAGGATCACATACCACTTTCTAAGCAAATATCCATCTAGTTTATAGTGTTGTTAATTCCTCCCAAAACAACAGGGTATGTACCAAGAACTGCTATGCATAGAGCTACACAGCAGTAAATAGCCAACGGCACTTAGTACATAAGATAATTGTCTAAACCTATCATTTAACTTTCAGTCTAACCAGTTTTTGCTGTAATAGAAAGAATACAGGAAAATGTAAGAGTCTGCCCTGACCAGATTGAAGGATACTATCTTACAGCATAGGCATATGAACAGTTAATTTTGCTTTTTTGGGGTACTTGGGGCATACTAAAATGAAGTAAACCTATTTATCCTAAATATAGGGCAGACAAAGAATAGCTAGAATGTAGCGTCACTGAGAAGAATCTGAGAGTTACCATCTATGATATACTGAATGAGTAACAGTAACAAAAAAGCCTCATTAGTTGATTTTATACAGGGTTATTATGTGTAAAGAGAGGCAATATTCTACGCCACTTGGCATGTTCTAAGCCTCAACTGGAGTTCTGAATTCAGTTTTGGTAACCACTTTGATTTTAAAAGATGGACAAGCTAGAGGAAATTTAGAGTAAAAAGGATGAGGGGCTTGGAAAATGCACCTTCTCAGGAAAGATGAAGAGCCCTGGATTTGAAAAGTGTGCAGAAAAACAAATGGAAGAAAAAAAGTCTTCAAATACATACAATAAATATATTGTTTGCTGTGTCGTAGCCATGCTGGTCCCAGGCTATGAGACAGACAAGGTGGGTGAGGTAATCTCTTTTAGTGGTCCAACATCTGTTGGTGAGAGACAAGCTTTGGAGCTCCTCAGAGCTCTTCTTCAGGTCTGTGAAATGCAATCAGGTAGCTGTGACATGCTAATGATCTTTCCCATACCAGAGGAAGAGCTCTGTGAAGCCTGAAAACTTGTCCCATCTTTCACCAACAGAAGTTGGTCCAATAAAAGAGATTATGTCACCCACCTTGTCTCTCTCAAACATACTGTCATATGATAGAGAGGATAGGGATCAGTTAGTCTCTGTTTAAGAGGACAGAACAAAGGGTAATAATGGGTTTATGATGTGGCAGAATTTTTTCTGGAAAAACTATTGGGAAAATCTATATAACAACAAAAACAGGCGGTGAAAGGGAATCACCATCAGAGGCAATATGCAAGGTTAGATTAGACACGTCTATTAGGGATGATTTCAGAAAATAAAAGCTCTGTTGATTGGCCCCGTGGAAGGCCAGATGCTCACCTGGTATAGTTTGACATAGCTCCATTAAAGCCAATGGCCAAGCCAATTTATACCAATTGAGGACTTAGTACCAGCTATTACCATATATCCATACAATATGATGCAATAATGAAACAAATATTTCCCAAACCTCAACACTGGTTCCTTGATGCATCAATGACAAAACCTCTACCAATTTCTTACTCTTGGAAATAATTAGTAATTTTGTAAAGTGAGAAAGAAAACAGCCCATTAAACACTGTTATACATTACCCACCTGAACTTGGACACTTCTCTCAAAACAACCCTTTTACTTGCTCTGTGTCTGGGTCAAGGTCAATGTCATAGAAACAAGGCCTTGTAGGAAGTCCTGGCATGGTGCTCATCTGTGGGGACAATAAAATAAAGTTACATTCCTGCAACTGTAAGCGCATAATCACACTGTGCATATATACCTTTGACGAAGTGAAAGGCTAGATTGTTCTTCATGCACTCAACTACAGCTGCAATTTTTTTTTTAAATGTCAAACCATCTGCTACTTCAATTTATTTTTTAAATCTGAGCCTATGAGAGACAAAGGGGGAAAATAAAAATTGTCACACAGTTTAAGGTTGTAAACTGGGAAGATGCAAGAGTAACCTTCTTCACAAAATGCAGACACACTGGATTTCTTTGTGCCTCTGAGTATTTATCCATTTAAAGTTATGATACCAGGAATTCTGTAGATCAAAGGGCAATACTACGCGAATTCCACTGGTACTACACATGTTAAACTGTGGGTCTTTGTGAATGAAAGCGGCACATGGCAAAGGAATTAGCCTTAACACCTTCATGACTATGAATACTTAATTAACACCAAGCGTGAACTGAGATGATTAAAATAATTATGGGTGATTCCTAATTCATCATCATTTAGGAGTTCCCAGCTCTTGGGCTCCGTGCATTTTTCCTGAGAGTTCCCAGCACCATGAAGTTATAGAGCTTGTAGTGAGCACTACAATGCACTAAAGCAGTAACAGTTACAGCAGAAGAGCCAATCCCTATATGTTGGCTGAAATATAAAGCCACAAAAGCCTGCTTATTTCTAATTACTGGTAATTAAGGCCCTGCTCCAGGATAGCTCTTCAGCATGCACTTAACTTTAAATAATGTGAGTAGTCTCAAATACTGCCTACTTCTAGCTTCAACTGGATTACTTATGCTACTATTATTTATTATCTGTATTGCAGTAGCACCTTTCAAAAATCACTAAGTGACTTAGGAGCCCCACATGAGAGGTAGGGTTCCTAACTGCCTACGTCTCATTATGCTCCTCAATCGCTTTTGAAAATAGGACTTAAGCTCCTAAATCACTTAAACACTTTTGAGAATTTTAATCCCTGTCATGGACCAAGGCTCTGGACAAACATGCAAGAAAGGAATGGCCCTTGCCCCAAGGAGCTTACAATCTAACTAAGGCTACATCTACACTACAAGCTTGGGGTGTGATTCCCAGCTTGTGCAGACATACTCACTCTAAGCTAGCGCACTAAAAACTGCAGTGTAGCCAAGGTAGCCCAGGCTATCTGCCCTGAGTACAAACCCGCCCACACCCTGAGGGTACATGCTCAGTGTGGCTAGAACATGCTGCTGGCTGTGCTACCCTGTTATTTTTAGTGTGCTAGCTCAGACCAGAGCTAGCACGAGTATATCTGTGGTAGCTGGGAATCACACACTTGGCTTGTAGTGGAGACAGAGCCTATATGTGCTTAAAGTTAAGCATGTGCTCAAGTGTTGAGCCTATTGGCATCAAAATTTTATTAAAAACAAAAAAAGAAGATCTATAGACTTTTGAGGACCAGGATCTCAGCTAGGATAAATCAGCATAGTTCCACTAAAGCCAATGTTCAATCTGGCCCTGAGGGTCTCTCCTTAAAATACTTTTATGTATCTGCTAAGGAAATGACATTTTCTCTGGCCACAGTGAGAGCAGCACCGGGCTGATGGGTCTCAGAAAAGGAAAACATACGCCTGCTATTTTAGCCCCGGAGAGCCAAATTTAATGGCCCCTCTCTGACTAGAGTTGTTTCTATTTCTCTGTAAAAGTCAACCGGTTTTAATGCATGTACAATGATCTAGTTAGTATTACTCAGTGCTTTGCACTGCACCTTTGCTCTGAAATTGAGTTTAGTGTTGCTATTACAATAGTGGAAACGAAATAACAATATCACTTAAGATGTCCTCACAGAAACTTAAATGCCCATGTATATTATATGAAGTAACTCCACTTTCCCTCCTTGCGTTAATCTCCTGGAGAATGGAGTTCAGTTAACATGGATTAGTGATGTGTTCTGTCTTTTTCTAGACCAACTGCTGACGGGAAAAGAAAATTCAGACTCATAACATTTCCTAATAATAAAAAAAAAAAGTAGTTCCAATGTAGTCGTTTGTGGTCTTTTATGACATTACAGGGGTATGAAACCCCGCTAGTTTGCATTAAAGAGAGGTTCTTACTCGAAACGCAGCACTGGGTAATTACATACGTATTGTGTTGCCTTGGCTGCTTGGGGAACGTCGACACTGCAGTCTCAGGTCTGACTGCAGCGCTGGCAGATGTCCTGACGCTAGCTTTACCTGTGCCAGTACAGCTAAAAAGAACAGTGTAGACATAGCAGAACCGGCTTCTGTGCGGGCTAGCAATGCAAGCATGTATCTAGAATCTGTGGGGCGCTGGTACAGCCCTAGCTGCCACATTAACACTGCTATGTTAAGCCATGCTAGAAGGGGTATGTCTACCCAGGCTGCAATCACACCTCAGCCTGCAGTGCAGACATACCCCAGGCTAAAATCTGGGATTAATTTAATATGGTCTTTTCTCTGGGGATCGTATCCTGCAGGGATGCAATTGCAGAGGGTGCACTAATTGGGATAGCAGGTTTCTTCCATTTGTGACTTCTCAAATTTAAGGACTTACCTTGATATGAAACTGCCTTAATAAAATTTACAACATTACATGCATAACACCTCCTCTGAGACTTTGGTTTCTGGCTGTATTGGAGATGGCCTTGCTATAACCCAGCGAAAGTGAGCTCCCAAGTTCCCTATAATTTGTAAAGTAGATCTACAGATATGTACACCCAAACGCATGGACAGTCTTCACTCACTCTATATAAGCACCACATCCTAACAGAAATAACATTCTTAAAATCACCGATTCTAAATTAAAGTCAAACATTTCTTTAATTAGTTAATACAGTGGGCCAGATTCTCTGCTCGTATAAATCACTCAGAGGCCACTAAAGTCAATGGAGTGATGCTGATTTACACCAGCTGAGGATCAGTGTGTGTGCTTCTAATTCCTTGCAGAGTGACACCCAACATAACTTTCATTAATGGATGACAAACATTTGAGTTTCCTGAAGTGTGAATTCCAAACACTTTAATATTAATGGAGAACCTGTAGCTCTTCTGACACTGAGGAATGAAGTCAACATAAGGAAGTGATATCAACTGTATTAAAATCCCTGAGGCATAAAAAAGTATATTTTATCCAAATCACAGTACAGAAAACATCTTTTGCCTCAGTGGATCACAGAGTAAAACTGATATGCCTTGTCAGTTTCACCATTGCCCACAGTTCTGAATAGCAATAGTGAAACAGTAGATTCTCTGCTGTTGTTGCCAGTTGGATGCACAAATACTTTCTGCATGGCTGCATATTCAGAAGCAAAGCTCCCTCCCCTCTCCTGCCTTCTATTTTCTCCCAAAAGAGTACAGCGCGGGATTAATGTTTGAGAGTTTATAGGCTGATCCCAAACCCAGCAGGTAACTCAGGAGCCTGAAACCTCATGTACAGAGGGTCTTGTTAATCTACCACTGGTTGCTACACATGCTGTACCTGCTCAGTGGATAAATAAAAGACTTAAGTCTCCAAGGCGTTTTCATCTTAAATAAGCACTAAATTGACACTAGTATTTTAAAAGTAAAAAATAGAAGCAGATAATGGGCTTTGAAAGAGCAAATTCTCCTGTGAAAACAAATCACTTTGGTAATTAGCCAATCTTCAGCAGGAAAAATGCACTGAAACAGCAAATAAGAACTTCACACTCCTACAGTGCCTTTCATGCACACCAGATCCCAATGTGCCTCATAGTTTACACATCATATATACTAGACAGGGATCACTTCACCCACCCCTGATATTCAGTCACCTCTAAAATGTAATGTGTCTGCTAAGTAACACTACACAGCAAGGCTACAAAAACAGGTTGGGGTAAGTAGCCATGAATAAGAATGTTATCCAAATGAAATTACAGGTGGAATTTAGGTAGGCAGAATAAAACTACCAAAACTGGAATCTGAGCAAGACTACGCTTATCGTATCTTCTCTTGCCAAAACTGCAGTGGAACTTCAGTAACCACGGGTGGTGTGGACTTCCAGTTTAAACTCTTCATTCAGTATATCTGAATGTTTTCTCCATCCAGGAAATTTCATCTACCAAGAATTCACACAGCTTTTAAACATCTGCTAAGAAATGCAACAAGGAAATTGGGGCAAATTTGTAGGAACTCACTTGGACCACTACATTTCCAATAAGATATTTGCAATTCTCTACAAACCCCTGAAACCTTTCTTGTTACTCTGCACTACAGCAAATAATCCTTTTGAAACATTTTGTGATAGGTGCAACACTTGTGTTGATGGCTACACTATTATGTGCATGTAGTTACAGTACTACATAAACAGTAAGATTCGGAGGAAAAAGCAATATGCTTTAAATATAAGTTATTGTGGGGATTATGTTAATAATTATACTTCTCAGAAACCAACACTGGCAAAAGGAAAGCATGATTTTAGTTGAAAAAGGTCTAATACAACCACTATCTGTCTTATGTATTTATGATGTTGGAGTTTCATACACATACCTAGACAAAAAGGTAGAAGGATATTTATGATTCCTTACAAGAGCAGGGTGTCAATTATTCTGAAGGAAGCTTCATTAAGGCTGTTCTCAGAAATGTTGCTAATATTGAGCTACATGTAATTTTCCTTTTTGGGGAAGGGTGGTGAAAGTTCATTTAGAAAGTTGGGGTAGTAGCACTCTGGTAGTTTCTGCAAATCTCCAGTCTTCTCAATCCCAGTCAACCATATTTTAGGCCTTCGTATTGGACAAAAAATGCTCTGGTTGAGTTTAATGATTAATTCTTAGTGATCACAGAAGATAAAAGGTAGGATTTTCAAAGCCCTCAGCATTAGCCTAACTCTACTATCACTGAAATCAAGGGGAGTTTTACCATTGAGTCCCAGAGTGTCTTTTGCTGATCATTATGGATGTGACAGCAGCCTTTGATATCATTAACTGCGAGGTATTGCTGAGATGTCTATAATCCCTAGAAGAGTTGGAT